TATCAAAATACATTTAAAAAAAAAAACATACATTTTTGTGCAATATAAACGTATTTAAGTAAGAAATTCAAAGAAAATATTTTACACCGTATTTTCTTAATACGGTGTAATGGAGTATTAACTGGTGTAAGTTGGAAGTGGGACGTAGATGTTAAAAAGTTCAATATGCATTTTTTGTAAAGTTCAACATTTTTGGTCCGAATTGTATGTATGCACATTTAACTTTAATATCTTAACTTATGCACTGCCAAGTTTTATATAACACATCAAGTGAGACTTTTGAATTCTGTATAAAAAGAAAATTAGTACAATACGGAATATAACAAAACGTCTTAAAATAACTTGACAAAAAAAAATAACTTAACTTTTGTCATATGCTTCGCTCTCATTCTATGAAGCATTAATACAAAATGCCAAAGACATGTACGACTTACTGTGTACTCAAAAGATAAAAAAAAGAAGATCAAAATTAAGTTACTAAGCCTTTTTTACCTTGTCGTTTCCAACGTGTATTGGCTGCAGTTAAAGATCCTCCAGCTAATAGGTGTAAGTAAAGAGCACACCACCAGATGATGTTGACGGCTTCCATATTACTGAGCAAAACTATGTTAAAAGTACAAACAAGATTGAATACAAGCATTACTGACGGTTCCTTTATAAGAGTGGACAATATATAACTTCTAAGAAGAACCGGGTATTTCTAATTAGAGCTATGCCAAGTAGAGTTTGTTTCCCAGTGCTCTCGCAAAGCTACCACCAACTATTCTGTTACTTTAATCGGATAGCAGGATTTCACTGTCACTCTTATAGTGCACCAATGGCCCCAAAGTATGGATCGCGTTTTTGCATCGACGAGGCTCGAACCACGAACCTTCAGATTCACAGGAACCCCTAGGGCTTGCCTACTCGCTATGTTAGGTTAAATAATAATCCAGTAAACCAGCAGTATCTCACATTGTAGACTTCTGCAAAAAAGTAAAGCTTAGATCCTTGGCCTGTATGGCCACGTGTAGCATGTAAACAAGATATTTCATTGGGTTTATCCCGCTCTTTTTATTTAAAGCTCAATCATTCCAAGAACCAGGACTCGGCAGACCACGTATACACACAGTCTGATTTAAACAGTTTGTATCAATCATGGGGAATATTTTTGTATGAAGTCCAGTCACAGAGTTAAATTTTAAATTTTCTTCAGAGTATTGAAGTGTCCAAAAAACTCATACTTCTTAATTTAACTTATTTGTTGTTAAGCACGAGGCCTCACAATGGGTATCTGTGTTATATCTACCGCAGGTGTCCAAACCCAACTTTAACGTCATAAACCTTCTGATTACCACTGAGACACCAGGGGGCGGGGCAGGCTAAAGTTTAACAACTTGCTTTTGATCGGCAGACAACTTTACCGGGAAGTGACAAAAATCTAAAATATGATTTCAACTATTATAACAAGGATTCTAAAAGAACAACATGAATATAAAAAAAAAGTAGGCAGCGAAAACATCGACTTTAGATTTCAGGAAACAATTCGTAAAATTATAATAAAAACATCAAACATGCTAATTTGTTTGTCTGTTTGAAGTTAAGCACAAAGCTACACAATGGGCTATCTGTGCTCTGGCCACCACGGGTATCAAAACCCGGATTCTAGCGTTGTACGTCCGCAGACATACCGCTGTGCCACTGGGGGATAAACATGCTAATAAACGTAAACAAAAAAAAATGTAAGTTGTTCTTTTTTTCCACCTAATAGTAATATTTAGATCTTGTAGTGAATAGTTGAACATTTTTGTAAATACTTACAACGTTTCGACCACAAGTGTGATCAATGACCATCGAAACGTTGTACAACTATTCATTACAAACTGTAAATAAAATTTAAAAAAAAGTTAGTTTTTTCTTGGGTCTGTTTGTTTGT